TCACCTTGAAAAAATAGCACCTCCCTCACATCACGTAGGGATACTTAGGTAATATCTGGCCTCAATTAACACAAGAGGCAGAGGAAAAGCCCTCAGGTGTGGTGAAAAAAATAAGAAAGATGATACCCAATCTGTATATTATACAAGCTCTAACAAATGCTTTTGTGCTTTACGACATCAGCACTGCCCCCGTTAAGTAGTTTCATAACACTGACTCCCACACACATTAGGATAAAAGAAAAATGGATTGAGAAAATATTACATGTGCCATTAAGCTCATACATTTTACACCCCATGTACAAATCTCTCTAGCATGGGCTCCATATGACTTATTATTAATGTCCTCAGGAATATGAATAATCACAAGAAAAACTTTCTAAGAAGGAAACTTCTATGAATTCTCTCTGACTTCTGAAGGTGACTGCAAAATGTGAATTATATGCCGTCGGCAGTACCATGTGGTTCACAGGCTGTCCATACCATCTACTAATAAAAAAGAAGTGGCCCCAGCAGCAGCCAGAAGCTTAACTATCACTGGGAGCTCTCCTTTGTTGGCTTTTGACAAAATGACAGCACATTAAAATCAAAAGTGAAGAGAATTACACTTCAAAGTGCCTGGTACCCAGTGTGTTATGATCTTAGCTAATGTTATTACTTTTTACAAGTCAGATGCCAGATTGAAATCTGGTTTGATAGATCATACTTTGTTTTGCTTTGATTTTAACAAGATGGCCTCTCACTGAAACATAAGCCATGTTGCAGATTTCATTTTAACAATAAAACAGAAGCTTATTTAAGCAATGAAATGAAGATAAAATTGAATAAAGCATGCTATTTTCTCATGACACAAACTTTAAAGACAGTAACATGCTCTCACTAATCCCAAAAGTAAATTCCTTCCCAGATCCTATAATTACTTCTGCACAGTAGTGGCACAGCTCTGCAGATATTTTTAAACAACCTGTTCAGATGTGTAATGACACACCTCTGGAGCAGGTAGGACTTGAACACAGGTTTTCTTGGTCAAAAGTAGGTACACTACACCGTGCCAAAAGAGTACATATCAATATCCTTAATTTAAATGTGACTTCAATTCTCAGTTTGGAAAATTGGATAGCTTTTTCTTTCAGCTTTCATATGCCTGAATTTAAGCATTGTCAGCTTCAAATAAGCCCTTCAGCATTTTACCCAAACACTTCTGGTCTGGTACTACCAGTAAGCTCCTTATTCAAAAGTTAACTCAGTTATACCCTCGTCTCCACTTCTCAGGAGCACTACTTATACATGTATCTTCAGCCAAAGACTTCAGCAGAACTGTCCCAACCTGAACAGTAAAGTAATTTTTTTTTCAAGCAATAGGTGTTTCTCTTAAGCATAAAAGGAAACTATTTTTGAACTTCTAAACTGGAGATTGTTTATCTTGTTTAGTAGTAAAACTCTCCCAATGTAATTAAAACCCCATTAGTCCTGAAGCTAACTCTCTCATGCTGCTTTAAAAGAACACAGTTACAGAAATACCTACAAATTAATCATTAAACCTATCAGACCAAAAAAAAACCTACATAACTAATTCAAAATTAAAAATAAATGATATTAAACTATTTTAAAAAGTACATTGTGTACAATACAATTAAAATGCCATTTTGCCCAATCCCAATCAGCAACATTTAAAAAAAAACACCACATCTTGACCAGTAAAAGGGAAGAGCCTATGACACGATTTCAGAAAAAAAGGAAAGGAACTTCCGACTTCCTCAGCAAACAGAATGAAAAATTAACTGGTCGATTATCTGAGGTAAGTTCAAAGGTTCAAAATTACTCACTGTATGGGAAGCACTTTTAAGATGTTTTTGAGCTCTGTAAGAATGAACTAGCTAAATACAAGTCCTTTTTGATCAAAGTTCAGACATCTCAATTACATTAGGGAATTCTCTTCTTTAGGTGTGATGTCCCACATGTCTGACCAACAGTCATTGGCCATGGTTACATCACTTGGGACAGGTACTAGGGGGCTACCAGTAATGTGTAAACAGTACCTCACTAAGATGTTGTTGATCAAAATCAGGCTGAGAACAGATCACTTGTGCTGAATTTTTGCTGCAGTGACAGAAATAGAAGATGAGTTTGTTTCCAGGTCAGAAGTTCAATAAAGTTTAGATTTTCACAGGGGTTTGTTCTCAATCAATACAGAGACATACTTCCTGTCCAATTAGAGCCAATGGGGGTGGGAATGGATGTAGGTCAGATGAAGAGTTGGATTAGGACTCCTCACTGCAACCATCAAAGAGGTGGCCGACTGTCCAGGGAAAATACTGTTTGTGCCAAAGTCTTGAGTGCCCCTCACTTCATCAGAACTAACCTGGATCTCATGTTGTAAGCCATGACAGAGAGAAAAGAGGTCCTCTTCCCAGCCTTTGGCTGGAGGAGGACACCTCTTTCTGCTCAATGACATTTCCCTAGGTGCCTACTCCATCTCACATGTCCAGAACTGACAAAGGGTCACTGGAATTGAAATGTTAACTCTATTTCTCTTTCTAAAGATGCTTTCAGACCTGCTGAGTTTCTCCAGCACTTTCTGTTTGTGCTTCAGATTTCCAGCATCAGAATCTGTTTTATTTTGATACACAAGGGGATCTGGGTGTCTTTTTACATCAGTCAACGAATGTAAACAGGCTGGTGCAGCAAGCAATTAGGAAAACAAATGGTCTATTAACCTTTAGTGTAAGAGGATTTGAGTACAGAAGTGGGAATGTCTTACTGCAGTTACGCGGAGGTTTGGTAAGACCACACCTGGAGTATTTTGTGCAATTTTGGTCTCCCTAGAGGATATACCTGCTACAAAAGGGATGCAACAAAGATTCACTAGGCAGATACCAAGGATGGCAGGACTTTCACATGAGAAGACATTGGATCAACTGGGCCTGTATTCAGTAGAGTTTAGAAGAATGGGAGGGGATCTAATTGAAACATATAAAATTCTAACAGGGCTAGACAGAGTAGTTGCAGTGAAGATGTTATTCCTGGCAGAAGAGTCTAGAATCAGGGATCATTGTCTCAGGCTACTGAACAGGTAATTTAGGACTGTGATGAGGAAACATTTCTTCACTCAAAACGGTACTGAACCTGTGGAATTCTCTATCACAAAAGGCTGTGGAGGTGACATCACTGAATATATCCAAGAACAAGAATATCTATATGTTTTTAGATATTAAAGGCATCAAGGGGTATAGGAGAAATTGGGAGTAAGGCATA